AAAAGAAAAAAAAAAAAGAGGTTGTGTATTGCTGGGCACAGAAAAGGAGCCAGAGAGGGAGTGGGAGAGAAGAACAAGATGCAGAGTTGCTCAGGGACCATAGGAAAGAAAGCTGTGAATGCCGTGAAAAGAACTTGAGCTTTAGCTGTTACTAAGGGTCCCATAGATGGTGTCTAATGGAGGGCTGTCTTCATTGAACTGCAGAAGAGGATTGAGACTAGGAGCATGCTGATTGAAAAACTCATTTTCAGAAGGTTCTTTTGCATTCTAGCTATAAGCCAATCGTGGAATATATCGATGCCCAATTCGAGGCCTACCTGCAAGAGGAATTGAAGATTAAACGTTCTCTCTTCAACTACCATGACACAAGGATCCACGCCTGCCTCTACTTCATCGCCCCTACGGGACATTCGCTGAAGTCCCTGGATCTGGTCACCATGAAAAAGCTGGACAGTAAGGTACCTGCTGCCCTGGTTCCCGCCCACTCCCCTTTTAGGTCATCTTTACCCTATGGTCCTAAGTTATTGTCTGCTTCCAATGTGATCTGTCTTCTTTCTGATTACAGCACCGGAGTTTGGCAATGTAAGAAAAATGTTTAAAAACCTCTTCTGAATATTAGACAAAAATGAAACAAAACTCGCAAATAGTTAAATGGCTTGAGTGGTGCAAAGTGTGTTTAATTCTCAAACGGGAGATTCAATGATAAATTCAAGGCTTATGTTCTTAAACAACTTCCCCACATTTTCTAAAAATTTGGCTCTAATTTGAAGTTTGGAATAGAAAAGAAAGTATTAATTTTTTGTCTATGTGATAAGGCCAGTCCAGCTCTTTAAATTTTAAGTAAGCCACACCTACACATTCAAAAGGAGTAATGGCTTCATTTCTGTTTGACCCCTGAACTTGCCAAACATACTACTTCTCTCTTCACAGTGCCCGAAAGAAGGAACTGAGAAGTTTGATTAAAATTTGGTGCCCTACTTTAAAAACTATTCATTTTTTTTAAGAGAGATTTTTGCTCTAGGGCATGTATGCTTGCCAGAGAGACAGAAAGCAAGAAATCACCCCCACTCCCCCAAGGGGAAGGCCATGCAGCAATCCTTCCTCCTTTATTCTCTTCTCGAGATTTTGGGCACACACACATGCACACCTGGCGTGGGTTTAAGCCACTGTGTCTGGGACTCAAACAAACTGTTCATTTTTTATTTTGAAATAAATAGACGATAATACAGTCTGAAATAAAATGAAGCAGACAGAAACAAGAGCAACCATAAAACTAAGTTGTGCATTTTTCTCTTAGATTCTTCCTTTTTAAAAAAAAATTTGACCAGAGAGAGAGAGAAAAGGAAAGTGAGAAAGTAAGCCACCAGGTCTGGGACTCGAACCACAGTTGGTCATGTGAGACTCCAGTGCACTCAACTGCCACATCACCTGCTGGCCCTCAATTCTATCCGTTTTGCATTCCATGAAAAGTCTTCAGAGGGAATTATTAGGGATTTAGGTTTTTACATTTTTTTTTTGTTTGTTTCTTTTTGTCCAAGCAACACTATTTAAAAGATATTTTCTTTCCATGAAGAGAAAAGAGTGAGGGACTGGCAGGTGGTGTGGTGGTTGAGGTGCTGGACTCCCACATGGCTGACAGCTGTTTGAGTCCTGGTCCTGGCGGCTTGCTTTCTCACTTTCCCTTTCTCTCTCCCTGTCTCTTTCTAGTCAAGTTAAAAAAAAAGTACATCAAAAGGAATTAAAATAAATAATAACTTTAAAAAAGCAGTGAGAGAATGCTTAGACGACCATCCTATCCCCAAGGCCTCTGTCTGAAATGCCCCACAGAAGGCTGGAGAAAGGGGCTACAGCCTGCCAGGCTCCTAGGGCTTGCAGTATGCACACACAGTGGTTCACAGCAAAATATTATTATTATTTCTTTAAGTGAGATTTTTGCTATAGGTTATATGCACTCACCAGAGAAACAAAACAGAGACAGAAAGCAAGTAGTCACCCTCACGGGGATGGCCACACTGCAATCCCTTCTCCTCCATTCTCCTCTCAGGATCTTGGGCATGCACACACGTTCCCAGTGTGGGTTTTAAGCCTGAGTCCGGAACTTGAATCCCAGTCAGCTATGCAGGAGTCTGGAGATGTAAACATTATGCCATCTGCTGGCTCCTACAGTAAAATATTCTAATAGCTTGAAAAAGTATTGCCACCAGCAGACTCTTGGGAGAATAAGTAGAAGCTCTTCATCCCATTTGATCCGGCTGCAGGTCAGCCCTGGGAACTGCGCTGGTAGCAATAATCGTGGTGGCATGCAGGCAGAGAGGCCAGCTCCCTGTCTGTCCTGTCCTTGAAAGCACACAGGTCCTCTGTCCTTGGAGTGTGCCGTTCTCCGCAGACATTCTGGAGGAATCAGAGTGAGGTGGCTTCCTGGGGGCTGAGCATGTAGCCCAAGCCAGGACAATAGCCAACAATAGTTAGTACAGCTGATATAAAAAGAGGAAGAAAAACAAGGCAGAACAATAAAAGAAACCACAAAGCAGGTTAAATTTTGAAAGAACTGATGAAGGGGTAGGGTTGGAGAGGGAGGTACCATCTGGACATGGTATTGCCATTCATTTGTACTAATAAAGGGAAGAACAAATGTGTGGATTTAAAAAAATGATTTTATTCAACCTTATTATTATTATTATTATTATTATTTTCCAGTTTGATCAGACAGGGTCAGGGGCAAATGACCAGGTCCAGTACTTTACCTGCCTTCAGCCATGTGGGAATCCAGCGCCTTTAACTATCATGCCACCTGCTGGCCCCTGTGTGCGTTTTTTTTTCTTTTTTAAAGAGTTATTTTATTGATCAGGATCAGCAGTTGGTATAATGTCTGTGTTGTTGGACTCCCATGTAGTCAACCATGGTTCGAGTCCCAGACCCTATGGCTTAAACTCATGTCGGGCGCGTGTGCATGCATGCCCAAGATCCCGAGAGGAGAATGGAGGAGAAGGGATTGTAGCATGGCCATCCACCCCGGGGGATGATTTTTTGCTTTCTGTCTCTTTGTCTCTGTTTTTTTTTGGCGAGCACACACACCCTATATCAAAAGCCTCTCCCCCAAAAAGAATTATTTTATTTATTTAATTTCATTTATTTATTTATTTTTTTTCATTTTACCAGAGAGAGAGAGAGAGAGAGAAAGGGAAAGTGAGAAAGCAAACTGCCAGGTCCAGGACTTGAACCATGGTCGGCCATGTGAGAGTCCAGCACCTTAACCACTATGGCACCTGCCAGCCCCTTATTTTCATTTTTTATCTTACCAGAGGATATATGTAGTCACCAGAGAGAGAGCAGCACTCGCCATGGCCATGGCTTTACACTGCACTCCCTCTCCTCCACCAAT